CGCATATCCTCAAAAGTTAACGGATGGGGAAGTGGATGATATGAATGACAGCAAAAATATTAACAGAAATGGCGACAGAGATGCATGGAATTTGTTTACCATCAGTCAATTGAAGGTTAAACTTTAAAACAATGTTGGTCGTTCCCATGGAATATTTTTGACTTTAATGGTATTAGTCATGATATGAATCTCAAGGTATGAACGAGGAGAGATGAGAGACTTATATGCTTCCCAAATTTCTTCAAAAGGTAATGTTATACCTGACTGTTTCCAAATGAGTTCAATATCATAACGTGAGAAACCTTGAAAGATAACGAAGTCAGTTATGAGACGTTTTATGTTTAAAGCTAAAAACCTCCATGTTTGCATAAGTATTGCTACAGTTAAGTGGTAATGTCTGACTTTAGTAATGATGTAGCTAATGGTGAGTCAGGCTTTGACACTAAACCTTTTCCGGCGAAGTCGTCGCAAACGAGCAGAGTGTTTGAAGGATACTTTTTGAAGGGGTATTTTGAAAGTTTTGATAGAATGTAGTTTGTAAGTCGTTTCATATCGTAAACTCCTGAGTACTGACGTAAGTGGTGTTTGTCAATAATTCTTTCCATCTCTCAGAAGTCTTTTGCATTCCTGACTGTATAAATTCAACGATGGCATAATATTTCCTCTTACGTCGAATGTAACGTTGAAGAAATTCAATGAGTTCACTGTCTGGAACTTTAACGACAGAGGCTTGAACTTTTGACATAAATGTTTTCGCTGTTGAGTCCATAGAGTCTGAAGTTGCTGATATAATGATTTGGTCATAATATGAGTCATTTCCTAAACGTTCTGTTATGAGTATATGACGAATGAGGTTAAATGTCTTACCTGACCCCATCTTTCCACAATAGAAATAAACACCATTTGAACAGAACTCATAGTCCTTACTGAAAGGAAGAATGAGAGAAGAGTTAAGTTTGTCTGTAGTTTCATTCATGTCTTCATCTACGTCATGTATTAAATGCTTCATTTTATCTCCATTAAAAATGCAAGTCAGAAATATTCAGAACATAGCACCGAGTCTAACTGACAAGAGTATAAAGATATACTATGAACACGTTATGATGAAACCAACCAAAATTCAAGAAAGTCAGTATACTTATGAATATCCAAGACACTGGGTAGAGTATGTAGGAGGTGAGAAAGCTATTGAAATAAGACAAGTTAGAAGTATTCCAGCAGGAAGGACAATATTATTGAAGAACTTTAATGTTTTGAGATATAATGATGAGACAAAGAAGCAAGATAGTTTTCCTATTGCTGTGTATGTGAACCTAGACACAGGAGATGACATGAAAGTTTTTAACACAAAGCTTCAAACGGTAGTGAGAGAACAACTGACTGCGGAAGGACACCCATTACCTTCAGAAGTTACCATAGCGTATAATTTTGAAACAAATGCAATAGATTTTAAAGTCGTCTCTGCAAAGAAGTCAGGTTTTACATTTAATGAAGCAGATGTATATTCGAATGAAAACTTCAAAGCTATTGCATGGTTAGATAATGACGATTGCTTTAAGAAAATATTTAAATTCAGTGACTCAAAGATGTCAATAGATGACCTTCGTGAATGTTACCATCGACGTTTACAGTTGAAGGTTCAGCAGGATTGCTTACAAGATTGTCAATTGGTGGTATTTGGTCTCGTGAGAACATTGTTATAAAATCCAGTATAAGTGAATTTGCTGAAGAATCTATATTATGTCTTTCAAACTATATGTATTCGCCGCCGAAGCATTATAGTATAACAAACTTTGTCAGTAAGTTTAATATAAGACTTGTCGAACCTTCTTCAATGAAAGATGTTGTGCTACCTAAAGATGGAAAGGATGGACTCATTATTGAGATGATTTTAATAGCATATTAAATGAGCTTGTTCTTGAAGGTCATTCATGATGAAATAACTGTTGTAGAAGATGTTAGCAATTGTTCAGACATTTTGAAGCGTATAGATGAGATAAGAAAGAAGTTTATGAATGAGAATGTTTATGTTTCATTGACTTTCTCCAGTAAAGAGAACTTTTATGAGATAATATTGAAGAGAGATGATTTTAATATGGTGTAAATGGTAGCTTGGGCAGCTTTAGGCGCAATGGGAACAAAAGCATTAGCATTTGGAGCAAAAGCACTTGGGGCTTATGACGCAGTAAATAAAATGAGTGGAGGAAGAGTTTCGAAGACATTAGATGCAAATAAAGGAAAGATTGGAGGCTGGGTTGCAAAGAAGTTAAGATTAAATAAAATCGGGCTCATAAATAAAGCATCCAATTTGGTTGCGACTGAGTCAGAAAATGCTTTAGGAAAGGACGATGAGTTTGCAAAACATGCAAAAGACTTTAATGACCAGATGAAAGGTGAAACAATGCATTTAAATAGAGTCGATGGAACTCTTCCTCCACCAGTAGTTCTTCCGTATGGTCCCTATGGAATGTATGGAAACCCTTACGAAAGACCATTTGACCCATTGACTGGTGGAAGTAACTGGTATCATTACGGACGAAGAAGAAAGACAGTCAAGCTGGAGACAGACGTGAAGAAAGCAACTAAAAAGAAACCAAGGAAGAGAGTTATAAAGTAATGAATTCAACAGGGTGAAAAAACAGGTGAAAAAAGAGGTGAAATCTCACCACTTCACCTAAATTTATTTTTGTGCTATGTTTTCATACGTGTGAGGGTGGTGATATCATTAATTTTAAGTTTATTTTTTTATTTTATTTTTATATAAATGACGAAAACTATTGAGATAACAAACTACAACGGTCATGAGTTCAAGAATTTGTTCTTCGTTCCTCGTGAAAATACATTCTATCAGATACGAGGGAGAAAGGGTAAAGTTAGTTGAGCGTTTATGAAAAAAAGAATGGGAAATTAAAAGCATACGATACAAACGGTAAACGTGTTTCATTAGCTTTGTCAAAACTTACTAACATTATTTTGACAGTGATTTTGACTCTGACGATTGGAGCGACAGCAGCGATACTGAAGAATATGAACTATTGTGTGAAGCACAGCAATGGAAGCGCTGCAATACTTTTGTAAATGAGAACATTAGTGGGAACGTTAGTGAGAACGTTTATTTTTTCATTAGTGAAGTCGTTAGCGAAAACGTTAGTGAGGTGAAGTGGTTGGTGGTTTTGTAAATATTTAAGGTTAAGTTAGTGTTGTCGTTTGCGTTTGTGTTGTAAAATATACGTTAACGGTTTTGTAAATATTTAAGGTTAAGTTAGTGTTGTCGTTTGTGTTGCAAAATATACGTTAACAGTTTTGTAAAGTGTCAAATTCACATATAATGGGTACGGTGGAACGCAGTGCCTCCGTACCCAAGATAACCATACTAACTTCTTTGTTGGGAGTTTATTTTAATCTTCTCTAAGAGTCTCATGAAAACCTTACCGAAATGTTTGTGTAAGTAGTCTCTGTTTGGTTCATCTAAAGCTTCGATGTTAAAGTCAATGAGTCTATTGCCTGACTTCACATTTCTCTTCCTATTCTCTTCATCTTTCTTTAACCATCTCTCACCTTCTTTTGGTTTGTCGTCAATGGAACGAATGACATTATTAGCTTTGCGAACTTGTTCTATAGCACTTTTAAACATCTCTCTTCTCTGTTGTTTCAGTGTGTCGTCTCTCTTTCGTGTTTCACCAACGTTTGAGTTCGTAAGTTCAAACATCTCTTGACGAACATCATGCGAAAGAGCTTTACGAGTATGACCAACGTTTGCATTTGTTATGTCAAACATTTCTCTTCTTACTTCATGAGGTACTGAACGTCTATGATATAAGTCAATAGCAACGTCATTTAAAGGAAATGCTCTTGCATGGACTTCGTCCTCGCCGCGTTGCGGCTTTATGAACTCATGAATTCTATCATAAGTTATTTCACCATTGTAGTCATTGAGGATGTCAGCGAGTGATTTTTTGTTTGTCGCGTAATGTTTTGCAACATCTATGTTAGCTTCTGTAAGAAGTTGTTTTATTTCCGAGTGTTCTAACTTAGACAACTTCCGATACATCTTTAGTAGGAAATAAAAAAATTTCTTAGAAAAAAAATTAGCTTAGATTTTTTAAGGCTAGTTTTAAAATATTTCGAACTTTTTATTATAATGAAACACATGCAAGATTGCAAGTTCTTTTCATACAATGCTCTCGCTACTGCCATCAAGAATGAGTTCAATGGTGCTTCAAACGTCAATGTTATCTTTAACAAGAAGTTTGTGAAAGAATCTAAGTTCAGTCAGTATGTCAGACCATTAGCTATTGTCATTGACCGCAAACGTTATACTTCACAAGAGTTAGCAGTAGTTTTGAAACAAAAGAGTTTCTTCGTGAATGTCAAAGATACTCATTATACTGTCATAAAGAACTCTAACATTGACTTCTTCAGTATTGCTATGAATCTTTCCGAACAGAAAGAATATAAGAAGGGTGAAACAAATGTGAAATATTATCCTTCATCTCTGAAGACAATAACGAACAAAGATGTTATACAGAAATTCTTACCAAAGGTTGAAGAAGCTTCTATTGACATTGACGAAGGAAGTGAAATGGTTGAAGAAATTGACCCTGACGTCATTTAAGCAAAAATATATTTTTGGTTAGTCTTCATATCGACATTTTACAACACTTAAATGGTAAAAACAAAATAAACTTGACGAAGTGAAGATTTGCACTTCGTCGATTATGATCGACATGGAGCGTTTTGTTTTTATCATGGTTTTCTCCACTATGGTTCTAACGTGGCACCCGACGAGATTTTTTTCATTCTTCCTCTTTGAAGTTGTCGAAATATTCTGTTATCTTTTCTTTCAGTAATGTTAAGTCTTCTTTGAATGTAAGTATTGTGCAACCTTTGATGTCATAGTGTGTTTGAGGTAACGTATCTTAAACTATTTGTGTCACATCTTCATTCGGTGTCATTGAAATCGGTAAGTTTTCACGATAGAACCAGTTTCTGTCAGATTTATATATTTTAGCTAAGTCATAAAAGCTCTTGTTGTTTCTTCTGACTAAATGCAACATAACCATATCTTTATCTTCTTCTTTCTCCAACTCTTCAGTATATATCATATACTTATAACTCTTTTCCTTTCCTTTTGGTACTGAACGTGGTATTCTTTTCTGTATGCTTTTGTCTTTGGATTCAATGACTTCATCTTTTGCATGAAGTTTCTTTTCCATATCTTCGCGTTCTTGTCTGTGAAGTTCGTCAAGAAGTTTACAAACATACCATGAATAGCGAGCTGAAGCCCATTGTGCCACATTATTTACGAGAAGTCTATGAACATAATATCCTCTCAAACCGTTTGGCAATTTTTCACGGTTTTCATAGAGTTTTGGCGACTGGGATTTTTTACCTACTCGCTGTTCTTCACTGTTTTCAGAAAAAAGTATGTCTCGCTGTGCTTCGCTTAAGAGTTCAATGGTGCTTTGGTTCCTAAACCAGTCTTTAGGAAGCTTAGTGTCTGGAGCAAAACAAGCCGTCAAAATACTTTGCATCTGGTACATATCGTCTTTGACCGAACGAATGAGTCTCAATTGTTTGTTATACTGTATGTATTCATATTCTTCATTAATGGCTTCATGAACGATAGCAGTTGTTGTGTTCTCTGTTGTTGACATATCTGTCTTTATATTCCGGATAAAAAAAATATTTTATAAAAAACTAACTTTATTTTCTGACTTTCACAAAAGACCAAAAATAAACGCTTTACATGTATTTTTCAGCAACTTCGTCAAATAATTTTATAGCTTTATCTATCTCATCTACTTCAAACGTTTCTTTACCTTTCATGGGAGCACCATACCTTTTCTCAAACTTTTCAAGTAGTTCTGTTTCTGCAGCTCTCATATCATTAACGAACACAACCTTGACTCTATTGACTGTACTGTCATATCTTTGAGTTATATTATATGTTCTTCCTATCTTATATCTCTTTGTATTGAAGTCCTTCGGTTTCTGAACGATGTAAAGTAAGCCTTCACTGCAACGTTCCGTATTGAATGAACCATAAGTTATGAAGTTATATCCAACAACTGGGTCTAACCATAACAAAACTATTGGTATAAGACTTTTGTCAATGAGATATGCTGTAGTTCCATAGAATCTTACCGATATCATAAGCTCAGGATTTCTTGTCAAAATTTTCTGAGTTGAAGCATTTCTAACCCAATGGTTTGTTTTCTTTTCAGATGGAGATATAATGTCTGACAAAGAATATTTGTTGTATTTCTTTGAGTATCTTACGTTTAAATCACCTATTCTAACCACTTTGGTGTCATTGTCTATCTTTCTAACTGTTTCAAACTCAATGTTTGTCATTTCTGTTCTTACATACAAAATAAAAAATAAATAAAAATAAAACTAACTTTATTTTTCTAACTAATGAAATTCATTATTTTTGTTGCTGAATTCAATAAAAATATATTTTAGGTGAAGAGGTGAGATTTCACCTGTTTTCTCACCTAATTTTTCACCCCAGTTATTTTATAAGTGTTTTACATGGTAAACGTTATTTTTTAAATTTTGTGAAAACTCAACGGTTTGACACATGCCCTAAAAATTATTTTACTCAGAATTTTGTTGCTGAATTCAATAAAAATATATTTTAGGTGAAGAGGTGAGATTTCACCAGTTTTCTCACCTAATTTTTCACCCCAGTTATTTTATAAGCGTTTTACATGAATTGCACGATGTATATTTGAAATTCTAAACAATTTCGTAGCTTCTATTTCTTCTGTCAGTATGTCAAAAGTTTTAACTATGCCGAAGGTTTCTTTATACTTCTTCTTGACATCAGATAATAGGAAATCGTCAGCTGTTGGATAGTTTTTGTTCAGAAATACTAACATGTCCATTTTATCTTCTGCTGGTTTCTCTACTTCTTTCTTTAAGTCAGCATAGTCGTTTCGCATACGTTCTATCTCTTTGACGGAGTAGTTATATTTCCTCATTGCTGCTTTACATTTTGAACATTGCGGATTCATTTTTGCGTTATACATTGAAATTTGACCTGCTAGAACAACTAAGGCGTCAATGGTTTTCTTTAACTCAAAAGTTGTTGGTTTTATTTGTCCATTCCATATTTTACATCTTTTATCTTTATCTCTTATCTGCCATACACATTCAGCAACTAATGAAACAAAGTTGTCGTATGTCTTAAACTCCCCAGATTTATATATGTCAGAGATGTTCTTATATACCATGTCGCAATCTTTGTTCATAACTTTATGGTTGCAATGAAAACCAAGGAATTCATAGTTTACTTTACGTATGAACTTCTTTATTTCTACTGAGTCAGTTGGTTTCACTTCTATTTCATCGAATTCAGGAATAGTTAGTTTTTGCTGCTGAATTTCAGGCAATTTGGGTAAATGGTCAATAATGTCCTGCATGTCATAAAGATACTGTTCATTTGTTTCATCTTTCGCACTACAGTCTAAATTACTTGTTAAAAGTTCTTGCTTTATTCTTTGTATTTCTGTCTCAAAAGTATATGAAGAAGGAATAAAGCTTTTCATCTCTACCAACATTGACGTAGGATTCATGACTAGCGAGTTTGGTGCTGTAGTTGTTTGAATTGTTGTTGTGCCGATTGTTGAAATCATATCTTTTATACAAAATAAAAAAATAATTAAAAATAAAACTAACTTTATTTTTTCTATCTTAAGGAAATTCATGAAAATTCACGAGAAAGCAAAAGCAATCTGAGCCGCTAAGCGGTGAGGGTGAAAAAACAGGTGAGAAAGGAGGTGAGAAAACAGGTGAAAAAGGAGGTGAAAAAACAGGTGAGAAAACAGGTGAGAAAACAGGTGAAATCTCACCTCTTCACCTAAAATATATTTTTGTCTGATTTACATCCAACGAAAAAGTTTAGAAGAATTTTCTTATTCTTTCTGGCATGTTTTTATCTTTCCAGTACTCCCGCTCTAATGGTCCCAGATGAGTTGGTTTAGATTCTCTCAAGTTCTTAGATGGTATAACATCTTCAACGCCTCCTTCATATCTTACTTTATAAGTGTCATCGTTTATGTTATAGCCAAGTATTTCAATAACCACCCCTCGCTTTGCTTCGTCAATGGTTTCAGCAAGTTTGCCATTACTACTTTCGACTAATTTATGACGAGGGTAAAATGCAATGGAGTCGTCAGCAGCTTTTATAAGATATCCATTACCTTGCGTAGAGTCTACGATATAATAGTTTCTACTTAACCTTAAACGTTTCTTTGTCAACGGTTTGTCGTCAAGAACTACACGCACTTTTGTACCAGGAATGAGGGTAAATTGTGTTGAATTTCTGATATTTTGTGTTTGGCTTCGTTTCTTTTGTATATACTTTTCTTCTTGTTGTTGTGTCATTGAATTTGGTGTATGTCCTGTTGTAGAATGTGTTGAGGAATTATATACTTCGAGAAAATGTTTCATTGTTTCTTCGGTAAAGTCTCGCTCTTGGTTTAAATCTCTGAGAGTCCTTATGAAGCGGTTTATGATGCCGAGTATGTTATGGTTATGGTCTTCAGTAGTGTAGTGAGTTATGTTATGCTTAATGAGAAAATCTGTGATTTCATTGCTGAGGTATGCACTGTCTTGGTCTGATGTTAAAGTACTTGGGCTATGTTCTGCTACAAACTTTTGTAAAACTTTAACACTTCACGAGTTCCTTTATTCCTCATTATATACGCAAAAGCTTTGCGGTGTTAACATTAATGAAGATGAGGAATGGTTTATGTCCTCCTTTTCTGCTTTGAATGAGAGTGTCAAATTGGTATGCGTCAGGAGTGTTGGAGTAAATTGGTAAAAAGTAGTCGTAAGGGTTTATTTTTGTTTGATGTACAATATTTTTGTCAAAGAACTTTTTCACTTCAGCTCTGTTAGTAAATCCCCAACTTTTTGCTGCTTCATTGAACTTCTTAAATGACCTCCATGGATGTTGTTCGAATACTTCTTTCAAGCTCATTTATGTAAAGTTAAAGATTTTATTCTAGGCTCAAGCGCGTTCATTGAACGCGGTACCATGCGAATACAGTCACAAATGGTGGCATATAATCTGCACCCAAGCCTGTTGGATTTGTTGTGAAAGTGTGTGAATGATTTCCTGTGGTTCCACAGAAAATACCTGTGCTTGAATCTACTGGGTCACTTGAAATATCATATCTATTCATTCCCTGTCTATCCGAACCTGCTGCAAGATTTATATAACCTCTTTTTGTTATTGAATGTGAATGATTACCTGTTGTGTTTGTAGTTCCTGTATGAGTGTGCGGTGGAAGGTTTGCTTCTTTAATTTTCTTCGAACCTCCTGTTTGCTTTGAATATCTAGCACAGTATAAGAATTTATCTACAATCTGCTTCCACATACCAAAACCTAAAACTGTTTCTGGATTTGTTGAGTTCATTGATGTATAAATAGAACCAACAGGATATAATGTTTGAAGTATTTCTGTCTTTAATGTTTGAAGCTCTGTTTTGTCTGCTTTCTTATCTAACATTGTTGGTAGTTCATATGCTTCAAAGTTTCTGGCATGATCTTCGATATTCCTGCAACTGTTATCTAAATTGTTAAGAGTATCTTTTACGCTTGTACTTGGATTTCTAATGGTGCACTTGAACCAAGGGTATAGTTCAATATTATGTCGTCTGCTCTAACAGTAGTGAAGGATTTATGTGTATGGTTCTTGTCAGCTTTATTATCATATAAATCTTGAGCAGTGAATTTAACATTATTTTCATCGTCCATGACATAAACATTTTTACAGCTAATTTCTTTCTTCGTTGTTATGTTTTCATTCGATGTTAAACCTTGTGGAAAGTTAGGAGGTTTATAATATAATGCATTCCCACCAGTTCCGCCAACCGTTCCTTCAATACTTTCTATAGCAACAGTTGAGAAGGAGTTATGTGTATGTTCTTTATCTGCTTTTTTATCTAACATTGCTGGTAGTTCATGTGTTTCAAAGTTTCTGACATGACCTTCAATGTTCATACATTTACTATTTAAGGAGTTTAGTGTATCTTTTACGCTTGTACTTGGATTCTCTAAAGGTGCACTTGAACCAAGGGTATAGTTCAATATTATGTCGTCTGCTCTAACAGTAGTGAAGGATTTATGTGTATGGTTCTTGTCGGCTTTACTGTCTAATGTAGCTTGAAGTTCATTTATATCGGAGATGTTGTGTTTATGAGATTTCAAAACTTTGTTCATTGCTTCGAGTTCAACTTTGTCAGCTTTACTTTTAATAGCATCTTCAAACGTTATTTTTGACTTAACTCTCAAAGTAAATCTTGGTTCAACTAATACACCTTTAACAGAGAAAGTAGAGGCATAAATTTCATCGTTATAACTAAATGCTTCTGGTGCTTTACCCGTGTCATACTGTACAGTACAGCTTATGTCATAACCTTTAGCACGAATGTATTTATATCTTCTTTCATTAACATCTTCCGTCTTCACTTCATCACTTCGTGTTAAATATCCATGGTAGTCCGTTATAATCTGTTCGTCTGAAGTTATATAATGAACGTGGTTCTTGACTTTATCACTCAGAGCTAAAAGCTCATTTTTGTCTGCTTTTTCGGCTAATTTCTCATTAACATCATTCACTTCTAATTCAACTCTTCCGCCAGAACTCTTATTATCATTAATCTTTTTCATTAATTCGGTAATTACGTCATAAAGACTATATTCTGTTTTCGGTTTTGTAAATAATGAGTCAAAATTTCTTTTCATCATTACATCGCTGACATTAATGATATCACCAATTCCTTTTTCATTTATTCTCTTCATTAATTCTGCAATAATGACGAATATATAATCTGTTAATTTATTCTCTTCATCGAGGGTTATAGAATGTTTTGAAATTGAATCATTAACTCCTCTAAATAAATCAATAACTTCAGGATACACGTTTTTAATGTCTCGAATAACCCGACCAGTATCCTGTTGTTCATGTTCTTCGTTCCCGTCGTTACGTGGTTTTATATCTCTAACCATCATCAACGCAGCCATAACCGGAGGGTTTGTTGCTACCTGTTCGAAAATCTGACCGTTATGTATGGTATATCTAAATAATTTCTTTGTGTTTGTTAAAACATTTGAAACAAGTCTTTTAAAACCATCTACAAAATTTCCTGTTTCACCTAATGTTCTTGCAGCATTTACAAGCTCACCCATTCCCGCTTTTGACCCCAAAAACGTCCATATTGCATTTATTTCACTCTGTATAGTTGTCCATTCAGCGAAACTAACACCCGCATTCGCTAAGCTGAAAATGAAATTCAGTGGATCGAACTTAATTCCACCTTCTTTTTCAATTTCAACGAACTCACTAACATGAGATTTTAAGTATTCTTTCGTTAAAATTGTTTTCCCCGATGTTATGTCATTAACGAAACTATCACCGTCAAAAGTTAACGAATTCAATTTCGTCGTTGATGCTTTTATTTCATACACCGCTTTATTGATAGTTTTTGGCTCACCTTCTTTAGAAGCATATGAAACATTAATGAATGAATTATATGTATTCGTGAATGAATTAAAATCAATGATTTTCATTAATGACGCCTTTAATGATTCATTTACTGTCGAATCCCTTAAAGTAATTAATGAACTGTCATTTATGAAAGGTACACTGCAAACCGTCGAGTTTGGATCAAATGCTGTAGTTGGTGCAGGAATATTAATGATATAAGTCATTAAATCATTAAGTGACGTAAATAATGTTGTTGTTTTTGATTTAATTTCTTTAGCATCTGTTATATACGGTAATTTTATTTCTGTAGTTTCTGAATTAAAGATATTCGCTAAAATGTTTTGTAAACTGTTTTGAACAGCAGTATAAACCGTTGAATTCGGAACCCTTACGATTTCACCATCCTTAATAAAGGCATTGCACATGGCGTAGTGCTTGGGTCAAATCTTTCGGGATTATAATTCAACATATATTCTAACGCTTCATGAACAGACTTATATACTGTTGTGTCGTTCTTCATGACAACTTCACCATTTACAATGAATGGCATAGTGCATGGAGTTAAAATTGGGTCAAACTTTTCATAGTCCTTCCATGTTATATATTTCTCAGTATTTCCATCAGAAATAACAATATATTTGTCAGTAAGTGTGAGAGAGTATTGACCAAAATATAAACGTTTAGCTCTGTCAGCTTCATACGCATATGCAGCTATACTCATATTTTAATGAGAATAAAATGTTGTTCTATTTGCAAAGTACAGACCCAAACGAATACGGGACAGTAAAACTACAAACAAACTTAGGTCTACAGAATGAGCCACTTGCATTCAGAATGGTTGACTTTAATACTATTGCTTCATTCGTTATAACTGACGAAACAGATTTCATGGAGCTTGAAATAGATGGAAAGAAGCACGAAATAAGATTTCACAATAATGTAGAATATAAGATGGAAACATTAGCTGGAGTGTTAAATGCTCTCATAAATACTACAATAAACAAGGATAACGAGAAAACTTAATGAATGTTAAACTTATTGCAGGAGTTTTGAAGTTCAGTTATGTGAAGGAGTTTAAGATAAACGAATGAGTCATAGAGTTCAATTGCTTCTGGGAGCATACCATATGACATTTCCTTTGAAAAGTGTTGACAAAACGATTGAGATGAAATCTGTTCCATACGTATGTTATGGCAATTGTTTGTACATTGAGTCAAAAATAGCTAATGTCACAGGTATTTCAGGAGTTAATAGTAAAGGTTCAGTAGAATATAAATCCTTCTGTTATGCAGTCAATTCAATGTTCATTCCAAACGTTCCTGTCATAGCAACTCATTTAGGTAAATGGGTTCGCATTAGTCCTCATAATTTGAAAGACATGCAATTCAGACTTGTTGACTTTCAAGGAGAGCCTGTAGAACTGAAGGCACCAGTGCGAATGACTGTTGAAGTTGACTTTTTAGAAAATATTAAATGCAACAGCTTACAAGAGAACTCAGAGCTAAAAATATAAAGTATGAATGTTATGTATTAGGTCATGAACTTTGGTTGTTGCTGTTTGATGAAACAAATGAGTTAGTTATGTCAGTCAAGAGAACAGAAAAATATTGTGTTAGTGAAAACTGCACCAAGTCAATAAGATTAGGTTTGCATTATGAAGATGAGTTCGATACTGTTGAAGAAGTTTTGGATAGATATTACAAATTGCTAACTTGAAATTTTTTGACTGACGGCGCAAAGCGCCAAGATGGGCTCAAAGAGCCCTCCTGACTGCTTTAATTTACTAAAACATATTTCAAACAAAGCTTATAGTCAGTAGATAGTTTTGTATACTCGTTCGAATATTTATACTTAAACTCAACTCCTGTAGTTCCTGGTGTTTCAATGATGCGGATGTTACCTATTTTCATGAATAGTGGAGTTTGACCACAGCATTCGATTTCAGGGTCGAGATAGTCAATGACACATTGTTTCCCTGTTATTCGTGAGATAACATTTTCAAGGTCCTCCTTTGTTAGAATTATTTGGTTCTTACTTATAAGATTTGTCAAAAGCTTCTTATCGTCTTTGAGTAAAATTGTTTGGTATAACTGAAGAAGGTAATGGTCTACGTTATCTGAAGGATTTGTTTGAACATTTGTGTAAGGGTTGTCGTTGGCTTCTCTTGAAAGAATTTGGTCCAGTGGTGGATACTCTAACTTAACATCTGATGTAGCGTTAGCGTTTGAAGCTGAGTTTAAATTCACGACTTAAGTTCTGGTTCTTTTTCTTTCAAACACTCTGAACTATAGTTCTTTATGACAATATTGTTTGTCGTTCGTGAGTCAACATTTGATGTTGGTTCAATTGGAACATTAACGGCACCAGCTAAGATGGATTTGCTTCTCATTTCATATAGAATAAAAACCTTTTATATGTATGAAATGAACAATATACTCGACAAGGGTTTGAATGTAAAGCTAACGAATGAAAATATTGTTGAATTCACTGAGACAGGTGCTGTGTATAAAGATGTAGAACTACTGAACAAAAGAGCTAAGGGAAGAAGCAGGAACATGAACAAAGGGTGGAAGCCTATAAAAATTTATGTCAATGATGGCTCAGGAGGTTCAAACATAAAGTATGCAGAAAGTTATAGAGTTTATGCTCTCAAAGGTGAAAAGCCTTCATTTAAGAACAGCTATTCTAACGCATATCCTCAAAAGCTAACGGATGGGGAAGTGGATGATATGAATGACAGCAAAAATTTTAACAGAAATGGCGACAGAGATGCATGGAATTTGTTTACCATCAGTCAATTGAAGGTTAAGCTTTAAAACAATGTTGGTCGTTCCCATGGAATATTTTTGACTTTAATGGTATTAGTCATGATATGAATCTCAAGGTATGAACGAGGAGAGATGAGAGACTTATATGCTTCCCAAATTTCTTCAAAAGGTAATGTTATACCTGACTGTTTCCAAATGAGTTCAATATCATAACGTGAGAAACCTTGAAAGATAACGAAGTCAGTTATGAGACGCTTTATGTTTAAAGCTAAAAACCTCCATGTTTGCATAAGTATTGCTACAGTTAAGTGGTAATGTCTGACTTTAGTTATGATGTTAGCTAATGGTGAGTCAGGCTTTGAAACTAAACCTTTTCCGGCGAAGTCGTCACAACGAGCAGAGTGTTTGAAGGATACTTTTTGAAGGGGTATTTTGAAAGTTTTGATAGAATGTAGTTTGTAAGTCGTTTCATATCGTAAACTCCTGAGTACTGACGTAAGTGGTGTTTGTCAATAATTCTTTCCATCTCTTCTGAAGTCTTTTGCATTCCTGACTGTATAAATTCAACGATGGCATAATATTTCCTCTTACGTCGAATGTAACGTTGAAGAAATTCAATGAGTCCACTGTCTGGAACTTTAACGACAGAGGCTTGAACTTTTGACATAAATGTTTTCGCTGTTGAGTCCATAGAGTCTGAAGTTGCTGATATAATGATTTGGTCATAGTAAAAGTCGTTTCCTAAACGCTCTGTTATGAGTATATGACGAATGAGGTTAAATGTCTTACCTGAACCCATCTTTCCACAATAGAAATACACACCATTTGAACAGAATCATAATCTTTGCTGAAAGGAAGAATAAGAGAAGAGTTAAGTTTGTCTGTAGTTTCATTCATGTCTTCATCTACGTCATGTATTAAATGCTTCATTTTATCTCCATTAAAAATGCAAGTCAGAAATATTCAGAACATAGCACCGAGTCTAACTGACAAGAGTATAAAGATATACTATGAACACGTTATGATGAAACCAACCAAAATTCAAGAAAGTCAGTATACTTATGAATATCCAAGACACTGGGTAGAGTATATAGGAGGTGAGAAAGCTATTGAAATCAGACAGGTTCGAAGTATTCCAGCAGGAAGAACAATATTATTGAAGAACTTTAATGTTTTGAGGTATAATGATGAAACAAAGAAGCAAGATAGTTTCCCTGTTGCTGTGTATGTGAACTAGACACAGGAGATGACATGAAAGTTTTTAACACAAAGCTTCAAACGGTAGTGAGAGAACAACTGACTGCGGAAGGACATCCATTACCTTCAGAAGTTACCATAGCATATAATTTTGAAACAAACTCAATAGATTTTAAAGTCGTCTCTGCAAAGAAGTCAGGTTTTACATTTAATGAAGCAGATGTATATTCGAATGAAAACTTCAAAGCTATTGCATGGTTAGATAATGACGATTGCTTTAAGAAAATATTTAAATTCAGTGACTCAAAGATGTCAATAGATGACCTTCGTGGAATGTTACCATCGACGTTTACAGTAGAAGGTTCAGCAGGATTGCTTACAAGATTGTCAATTGGTGGTATTTGGTCTCGTGAGAACATTGTTATAAAATCCAGTATAAGTGAATTTGCTGAAGAATCTATATTATGTCTTTCAAACTATATGTATTCGCCGCCGAAGCATTATAGTATAACAAACTTTGTCAGTAAGTTTAACATAAGACTTGTCGAACCTTCTTCAATGAAAGATGTTGTGCTACCTAAAGATGGAAAGGATGGACTCATTATTGAGATGATTTTAATAGCATATTAAATGAGCTTGTTCTTGAAGGTCATTCATGATGAAATAACTGTTGTAGAAGATGTTAGCAATTGTTCAGACATTTTGAAGCGTATAGATGAGATAAGAAAGAAGTTAGATAGACCGCAAAGCGGTGAGGGCGAAGCCCGTGAGAACGCTTATGTTTCATTGACTTTCTCCAGTAACGAGAACTTTTATGAGATAATATTGAAGAGAGATGATTTTAATATGGTGTAAATGGTAGCTTGGGCAGCTTTAGGCGCAATGGGAACAAAAGCATTAGCATTTGGAGCAAAAGCACTTGGAGCTTATGACGCAGTAAATAAAATGAGTGGAGGAAGGGTTTCGAAAGACATTAGATGCAAATAAAGGAAGATTGGAGGCTGGGTTGCAAAGAAGTTAAGATTAAATAAAATAGGGCTCATAAATAAAGCATCCAATTTGGTTGCGACTGAGTCAGAAAATGCTTTAGGAAAGGACGATGAGTTTGCAAAACACGCAAAAGACTTTAATGACCAGATGAAAGGTGAAACAATGCATTTAAATAGAGTCGATGGAACTAAAGAAAATGTTTCTTCTCCACCAGTAGTTCTTCCGTATGGTCCCTATGGAATGTATGGAAACCCTTACGAAAGACCATTTGACCCATTGACTGGTGGAAGTAACTGGTATCATTACGGCCGAAGAAGAAAGACAGTCAAGTTGGAGACAGATGTTAAGAAAGCAACTAAAAAGAAATCAAGGAAGAGAGTTATAAAGCAATGAATTCAACAGGGTGAAAAAGGTGAAAAAAGAGGTGAGATCTCACCACTTCACCTAAATTTATTTTTGTGCTATGTTTTCATACGTGTGAGGGTGGTGATATCATTTAATTTTTAAGTTTATTTTTTATTTATTTTATTATTTTTATATAAATGACGAAAACTATTGAGATAACAAACTACAACGGTCATGAGTTCAAGAATTTGTTCTTCGTTCCTCGTGAAAATACATTCTATCAGATACGAGGGAGAAAGGGTAAAGTTAGTTTGAGCGTTTATGACTACAAGCATAATGGAAAGTTTATACAAGCAATAGATACAAACGGTAAGCGTGTTTCATTAGCTTTGTCAAAACTTACTAACATTTATTTTGACAGTGACTTTGACTCTGACGATTGGAGCGACAGCAGCGATACTGAAGAATATGAACTATTGTGTGAAGCACAGCAATGGGAAGAGTTGCAATACTTTTGTAAGTGAGAACGTTTATTTTTTACAGTAGTGAAGTGAAGTGGTTGGCGGCTTTGTAAATATTTAAGGTTGAGTTAGTGTTGTCGTTTGTGTTGTAAAATATACGTTAACGGTTTTGTAAAGTGTCAAATTCACATATAATGGGTAAGGAGGCTCGCAGTGCCTCCGTACACAAGATATGTATACTAACTACTATTACGAAGAAGCAAATGAATATGGAGAACTCTCATTCCATTTCACACTTTCAGTTTCTGAGGGAGAAGAAAAAGCAATCTATCATGTACAATCTCTTGCAGGATGTGAAGGAAAACCTCACATAATAACTACTGTTGCAATTGACAAACCTGCAAGAGTCGAAGACGATGTTTTGTTCGCGTCATTGCTGGTTTTGGCATGGGAGAACCAATTCCAATTTCCCATTTCACAGAACTTCAGCACAACATTTCAAAATGTAGAATTCGTGTTCTACGACCATCAAAAGTTCCTGCTAACAAAACCAAAGAAACAATTTGTCTCAATATTTGTTGCTGGTCATGTGGCTGACAAAGAGCCATCAGATACTGACTATGAAGAAGAGGAGGAGGAAGAAGAAAACGATAGCGATGTCGTTCTTATCGAATAAAAACTTTAATTTTTTACTATATAATTTTTTTAGTTCTCCTCTAGGTTTTCTTATGGGCTAGAGGGCACGAAGTGCCTGGAAGCCCCACCTACCTGACCTGAATTGTTATAGAAATAACAACTATCTTAAGGTTACATATTAATTTCTAATTAAATCTCTTGAATATTTGTTTTAAATTTACAATTGGCCAAAAGAACGAAATAGAAAGATAATCTACTTTATTTAGGAACTTAAAATTTTATTCTTTAGATTTGAATGTCTTTTGGATTGTTAATAATGTGATCAGAATTTCAAGTTCACATATAGAGATAATTTATTTTAAAAAACATACTTTATTGTATAAGAATGATAAAGAAAAAAAAAAAAAAAAAAAAAAAAAAAAGGTAGTGGGGCTTCCAGGCACTTCGTGCCCTCTAGCCCCGAAGATGTTTAGTATAAATGAAGTTTTTATTCGGAAAATTGTTAGTCTTCTGGTGTGAATTCGGAGGACTCTTCTTCTTCCTCCATTGCTTCTGGGAAGAAGCCTTCTTCTGGTCGAAAACATTATATAATGTTTCACTTTTCACAAAATTATATATGTTTTCATGTTTTGTCACTTTTCTGTCACTTTTCAGGTAAAAACATTTTTATTATAATATAAATGAATTTTACAAAACCTCCGTTACCGGTCTTTGGAAATAAGAGTAAATGTAAAGATATTATATTGAGAGAACTTAAGAAACTACCGAATGGTCTAACATTTGTAGATTTGTTCGGTGGAAGTTTCTATATATCCCATTTGTGCCATACAATATTCCCAGACTCAAAGATTATATGCAATGACTTCGACAACTATATGGACCGTCTCAAACATATACCAGACACAAACAATATATTGAAAGAGGTAAAAGAAAAGATACCTATAGGTAAGATTGAACGTATACCATTAGATAAGAAAAATATTGTGAGAGAGGTTTTGAAAAAAGCAGAATATATAGACTGGGATAGTATATCTGCTAGACTATTATATAGTGGTTCTATAAGAGTTCATGACATTGAAACACTTATGTCAAAAGTTTTATATCTTAACTATACAAATGTTTTCAAAAGAGGACATAGAAAAATATATTGAGGGTATAGAGTTTGTGAGATGTCATTGGACAGAGTTGTATGAAAAATATAAAGACAAGGAAAATGTTTTCTTTATAGTGGACCCGCCGTTCTATAACACATGGGATTTTCAATACCAAGTAGACTGGACTTTGAGAGACTCTTTAGAAACTTTAGACGTTTTACATAACCATCCATGCTTTTACTTTACATCCGATAAAAGTGGTTTGGAAACCGTTATGAGATGGTTAGAGGACATACATGACTATGAGTTTAGATATGACAAGATAGAATATGAGAGAGGTCCTATAAACCGGAGAAAGTGTCACAATAAAGAAATTTTATTAGTAAGTAAATGTGGTTTGAAATAGGACTACTTGTTTTAGGTTTTTTCCATTGTGTCATTTATTTCTTTGACGTGGCAGAAAGATATAGAGAATATAAGATGAACCAATGCCTGCAAATGTTCAGTATATGTACTCGTAAGAGATATTTTTATCTAATATTAAATGGACGCACAGAACTTAGCGAATGCACAGCAACCTGGACGACAACCAAACCCAGAGAATATTCCAAATGAAGTTAGAATACAAACTGCAATGGCAAACTATGGTCAAGTGCCAACAGATGTACAAATGCAAACTGCCATGTCAAATGACGCTGCGTTAGGTTTGCCACCATGGTATGCAAATATGAGATGGAAAGAGTTTTATACAAACCCTGAAGTGGGATATAAACAACTTTATGCAGATGACGCGAACACAGGAGTTGACCCAGAATATGTTTTCTACCAGAGGAGAAACAGAATGTATGAGCTCCAGTTAAAGAATGCTATGGAACTCAACAGGAAACGCAAAAGACTAGGCGGACATTAGATTTTTACATATAGTAAAATGGGTTTCTTCAGTAGTATTGGAAACTTCTTTCGAAATGTTGGAAGAGGTATATGGAATGGAATAAAAACCGTAGGAAGAGGAATTTGGAACGGAGTCAAAAATATTGGTAAAAGAGTAGGTCAGTTCGTTGGTATTATACCTAAAGACCCTGAACCAGAAGAGCAAGCTCCTGTTATACAACAGCCTGAACCTGCACCACAGTCTAGTTGGCAACCAAATCCAACACCTCAACCGTATTAAAAAATTATATTTTTACCGTTCGATAGTAGTTTGTATATGAAACTAAGTTCTAAGTAAAACGCATGGTATAATGGAATTATTCTTTTTCTTCCATCTGTAGTAAACCATACTTGAAAGTCTGAAATACTTCCACTTGGTGGTTCGTATAACTTTGTAGGTTTTCGTAAAAGTCATTTGCCAAGCATAAGAAAGAGTTTTGGGCGCCAAGAAAATGAAGCATGAACAATAATAGCATCTTGGTCGAAAACATTTTCATATGTTCCATTAGGGTTTTCGACTTCATAAAAGTCTGGGTGTACTGGATATGCTGCAGGCTGATTTAACATCCTCATAAATCTATACCATGCCAAGTTGTTATATTTTGTAGAAATATAAACGTTTTCTCCAAGGTCTTCTATTCTATTGATTTTAACAGTTGCATTTTCCTGTCATAAATAATATCGAGATGGGTACTCTCCTTCGTCAATGTTATACTGGTTTGCATATTCGATATAGATATCGTTTATTTTTCTTGAAAAGCTTGAAGAGTTGTTTCTAAGTTTACAAGCAAACTAACTTGTAAAAGTTTTCCCTGTTCAAATTTCTCATACATACGTTTTTCTTTGTTATAGTATCGAACTTCAAAACCGACCGTAAATGGGAAACCATGTATGGCTTCTGAAAATGAACTTCATTCTACGAAAGCCAATAGCTTTTGTGACAGATGGGTCTCTTAGCCATCTTAATGGGTAGTCAAAACGATAGCCTTCATGCTTTACGGTCTCTGTCTCAAACTTTTGACCGACATTAGTAAAAAGTTCATCTAATGGTTTAGTTTGTAGCAACTCTTGAATTTTCTTTTTCTATTGAAAGCATATTTTATCTAGAATAAAATGTCGAAAGATATTGCTTCCATAAGAGAAATACAACACAACCGACAACTCATTATGCAAG